ACCATATGTATCCTACAATAACCAGGTGATTGTATAACTTTTGGTTGCTTATAGATGAGTTTGTTACCATGTGTAGATAAATATTAATTGTAGTAGTCCGGGTTTTGCAAAAAAACTTACTGAACAGTATATTTGGGCCTGGTTATAAAACTTTAACTGTAACAACACAAATAGGACCCTCCTCTGACAGAAACCATACCTTCGCACAGAAAATATGAAGTTTGAATAGTAATTATAAAAGCTATCAATTGTTACGCTAACCTGAGCAATGCAAGCACAAACTCCGCACAAATGAAGCCGACTATATATACTCATCCACCTGGCAGCTGCATTAGAAGCACAAAGAAAAACAAAGCAGTTACGGGTAAGGACACAACAAGGTGTCTTTAGAAGTCCATGCCTTGATCTGCACTAGCAGAAGCGCATATTTACTGATCTTAAACTAAGTGATATAGTTGGTAATCTTCTGTACAATTGAAGCCGTGGGAATTCAACACACAACACACATCGCAGCAGATTTTGAGGCAGAGAAAAAAACGTATTTTATTTGTTGGTTAAGTCATGTTAACAAACCTCAGCCCAACCTCCATTCAGGGGAAATTTACCTTTGTCCTGAGGATATCCCATGAGGAATACATGTTCTACTATGCGATTTTTTCAAACAACGTTTTCTGAACAATCCCTTTTCACCCTTGCCAAAGTTCGTCTTCAGGTTCCTTATTTATGTTTCTACTCCCTGTTTGTCCTTATTATGAATCATAATTTTACTCAGAGACCTACTCGACTGTTTCAAATATTTATGGCAATAACAAACGTTGCTAGNTAAAACTTTAACTGTAACAACACAAATAGGACCCCTTCTCTGACAGAAACCATACCTTCGCACAGAAAATATGAAGTTTGAATAGTAATTATAAAAGCTATCAATTGTTACGCTAACCTGAGCAATGCAAGCACAAACTCCGCACAAATGAAGCCGACTATATATACTCATCCACCTGGCAGCTGCATTAGAAGCACAAAGAAAAACAAAGCAGTTACGGGTAAGGACACAACAAGGTGTCTTTAGAAGTCCATGCCTTGATCTGCACTAGCAGAAGCGCATATTTACTGATTTTAAACTAAGTGATATAGTTGGTAATCTTCTGTACAATTGAAGCCGTGGGAATTCAACACACAACACACATCGCAGCAGATTTTGAGGCAGAGAAAAAAAACGTATTTTATTTGTTGGTTAAGTCATGTTAACAAACCTCAGCCCAACCTCCATTCAGGGGAAATTTACCTTTGTCCTGAGGATATCCCATGAGGAATACATGTTCTACTATGCGACTTTTTCAAACAACGTTTTCTGAACAATCCCTTTTCACCCTTGCCAAAGTTCGTCTTCAGGTTCCTTATTTATGTTTCTACTCCCTGTTTGTCCTTATTATGAATCATAATTTTACTCAGAGACCTACTCGACTGTTTCAAATATTTATGGCAATAACAAACGTTGCTAGAAAAAAGCAAGAAGCTAAGGAACTTGTATTATTCGATAGACTTTGAAACCCTGGTATTGATGCGCGTAAGCTGTGGCTTTGAAATTCTCACAAAAAGGGTAAAAAGAATGAAGAAACGTTTACAAAGAGCGTCAGCAAATGAATAAAAAATTTGAAACTGAAGCCATTTTTTAAGTTATCAATCTGATACTCTGAAACAGCACCGGTTAAACACTTTTTTCCGACCATTAAAAGTAGGAAAGAGGGGCTAAAAATAATTTTTTTAAAAAATTTAATTGTGAAAAACATTTTCGAATATAACCGGTATAATTAGTTGTCCTACCTTTCCCTTGTCCTTAACGCTCTATTCAAGAACCTGACGTTTTGATTTCTCAGGTCCCTCTGATCCTTTTATTCCTGGGTTATTAAAGAAGACACGCCTTCACCAGTCTGATCAGGAGTAGCCATATACTAAAAATAGATGAGATCATGATGCGACAATTTAATACAATACAATCTGTCCATTTCAAACATTTTAAGACACTTACCTGTGCTTAAGTATCTTTTTAATTTTACTACTTCTACTAAACCACAATTAGGGACTGTTTACATGGAGGTGGGGGACCTCACGGTAGGTGAGGTAACCCGCTTAGGTGGGGTTACCCGTTTGTCCACATAATCGCTCATTTTAATTTGATCACGTTTACATGATAGGTGGGGTGACCCGCCATATTTTACCTCAACTACGTGGGGTCCCCCACTTCCATGTAAACAGGCCCTTAGTTAATAATCAAATAAGTGATTATCTGTTAGTGGTTGTACTGAGTTTTATAGATCAAATAACGTTAAAACAGCGATCATGGTGGAAATTAAAGAGGTAGCTACTACCACCCTCTTAACTTCTTTTCCCGTATTATTATAAAGGCAATGAAAATAATAATAATGATAGTGATAACGATGATGATGATGATAATGTGATTGAGACTTTTTAAGAACGGCTACAAGGTGCTTTTGCCAGTTCTGCGCCTGAAATACTAGCTACTACACAAACTACCAATAGAATTACAACTTACGACTAACTAAACTATACATGTAATGCAATAAATATAATACAGTAATAAATATCCTTAGTATTTTTCCTTTCCGTGCAGTTTTTATGTTGTACGCCATTTCCGCTCTCCCTTTTATTGTGACATTCTCCATCTATATAATATTGTGATTGCTACATAAGTTCAGTAACATCTGTAAACCTGAAGAAGGCTGGTATGGCCAGCCAAAATATTGTTATAAAAAACAATACACGTTGTTTTAAATCAGCTTTGCAGTAGTCTTTCGACTTCTCGTTCTTGAATAAATATTACACCGTCAATTCAGATGAATGCAACCTCGCACAAATGCAACAATATTAGCACCATCCATAAGAGGAGAGATCATTTTCTGGTTTGCCTTATTGCTTACGGATTAGTTTTTGCTTGGACTGAAAGAGGTTGGTGGGAGGAAACATAGGACAGCCCAACACACCTCTCCCTGCGTACATTTCATGCCTAATATCGTTTTCGATAGTCTGAAGCAAAAGTGTTGTTATGAGCACATCGATCTTTAAAGCCATCTCCCTGACCTAACCATCATCCTCGTGTTTGAATTGTCAATCCAGGTTTCTAAATAGGAATGTATTTTCCTTCAAACGCTAGCGTTTAATCTTTTTGCTCATTGAGCAGCCGAACCAGCTAGGTACAACGTGTGCTGACTAAATATTGAACTTCAAATTAGTTCTTTTTCCCTTCGAAATTAAATTAAAGTAATTTGTGTAGAGTAAGACTAACCTTCTGTCACGGCAGTTGTTTTCGTAAGAGTTTTCTTAGCAATTAGAAGTAGAAACAAGTCTTCAGGATTGGCGACTTGTTCGGTTCGGTAAAAAATAATTCATAAATTTTTGCATAAATTACATGCAGCAAACTACACCATAATGAATATTCACAGAGCACTGCACGCTTTTTGTGATGAGCCAATACAGATGGCGAACGTACAAAGATCAATAAAATACGTTTTTGCACCCCTATTAATTTAATTCAAAATTAAAAATCTTCTGTAACAAAGATTTTTACCCGAAACGTTTGAAAACTAGCTTTTGATAGCATCTTAGTTTTATCAGGGACTTAAAAAGCCACCGTCCAAATATAGGAGAAATTAACGATGTAAAAAGGAAGTTTCGGCTTTATTTAAGAACTGAAATCATAAAAATATGCAGATTAAAGCATCGATAAATTTAACCTTTCCTATTTCAAAACTTGTCCCACTCAATTTCTCGGAAGTTTTTTTATTTTATAAATTACATAAACTATTGAAAAACGAAGGCAGTAGAAAGGCAGTATAAAGCTCTTTTTCCGCGTAACACTACAGATCGAAAATTGTACTTTAAACTGACGTTGCCAAACGACGCAATTTTGTCCGAAAAATGCCTGGCATATCCTTTTGTTGAATAAAAGAATTGGGAGCTCTGGTCATTTTGCCGGTTTTTTGCCAGCAGGAAACTCAGCTACTTTTGAAACAGATAATATACTTCTCCTCAGGCGTTCATTGAACATTCATAGAACAGTGACAATTATTAGATTATTGTGCTTTACAATTATTTTTGCTAGTTTCCTTTTCAGTGGACTCTTTTTATAGAAGGCGATTATATGTGTGCAAAACAGGTAGAAGTAATCAGCAAAATTTTAATTGGTCGTAGAAGCCTTGAAGTCAAACAAAAAGAAACTCTGTTGATTTTTTAATTTAAACTACAGCTGCAGCTAGACATACAACAGAAAGCCAGTAATTACCACAACAACAAAAATAGCAAGTCTGTATAGAGAGAAAAATATCTGACAGCTTTACAGCAAAAGATTTCACAGTAAACGAGTGTCTGGACTGAAATGGCGTTTGTGGGTTTATTCAGTTCAATGAAAGTATATGTCCTTCCGGGTAGAACACTATCGCTTGTATCACCGATCACCGATGGGGGCATTTTTGAGCACAAGCAATGTCGCTTTCGCCCGATGTAGGAGATCTAAGACTGATTCTGGATTCCACGCGGCGGACTCCGCACTGTGGAACTGTCAGTGGAACTTGGATTCCTCAAGAAAAGATTTCCCGGATTCCATTACATGGGGCGAAATGCTTTGCTAGACGAAACAGATGGAAGGCTTGATCTCCCGGCAATTTCAACTGCAGTTTCAGCCTCCAGTGAGAACACCGCGTGTGGTACAAGGGTCCGCAATGGCTAATGGGATTTGCCAACAGCGAGCAAAGGCGGAAAAATCGTACAAAAAAAAATCATGCGTGACTAGACGCACGAGCGTCGTCAGCCAGTGAAAACTGTGAATCATTTATATCCGTTACCTCGCAATCAGTGAAAATGGCGTAGCAATCCAGGAGTTCTACTCATCTAAACACATGAAGTTGACTGTTCGAAAATCATTGTGGCTGTTAGGTTTCTTAACATTATTTTATTATACATATAGAAACCTACAAGCCCCCAGTATGGTTTCCAGAGCGGGCAACAGACCCGTGAATTGTGAAAAAAGCGCCAAGGAGATTCAACAATTAGTGGACTTAGCACATGAGGTGCATAAAGTACTTGACGAAATTGGAATTAAACACTGGTTGATGTTTGGATCACTTTGGGGTATTCAAAGAAAACTCTACAATCCACTTCCTTGGGATGACGATGTAGATATAGGAGTCTCTGGAGACGATGTTCACTATCAGAGTCTGTCTCGGGAGAAATTTCTCTCAGCTTTTACAACCAAGGGTTTTACGTTAAAAGAGCGTCTGGATCGAAATGGCATTGTTGGTATATTCAATCAAAAGATATGTCCCTCCGGCTGGGTTGATATCTTCATATTTTATGACTACTGGGGTAATATGAAACGAACAGGATGGGAGACGTGGCTGGCACCTATTAACTATAACCTTTATTCCTCTTTCTCTTCGCGAGCTGTAGAGGGGACATTGCCCAAGGCTCGATTTGGTGATTTTGACATGTACGTGCCTAAAGATATCCTACTTGTTCTTAAAAGTGTATATCCTTTTAATTGGTGGGTCGAAGACAGACCTCGAAACTGTGTAAACAAAAAGATTTGAAAATAAATCAATAGCTCATTCTCGCATGATCAGGATTTGCATAGAATACGAAATGCACAATGTCCACAACTGACGTAAGGATTATAAGGATGCAATGTTGTGAAAGACGTTTTGGTAAATGAACGTGATAAGTATTGTAAAAAAATTCCGGAAATTACGGTACGTGCCGTTTACCATTTGCCTAAAATCACATTCCGGATTGTCGCGCAGCGCTAGACTGGATTCTAGTTACAACATGAAACCAGTACGAACTCAAGAGACTTGTAAATGGTAAACGAATTTCCATTCAGAACCTCTGAAACAGAAAAACGGGACTACCTTTTCAGAATTTCCGTTTGCCCGGGAATTTTCCAGTGGGACGAACCAAAAAAACGTTTAACATTTACATCCCAACAGGAATTATGGTAAACAACTTCGTACCTCTCCGCTGGTCTCTTCTTCAACCTGGGAGTAGTGATAAGTTATGAACGTTTCTAACGTTTGGTGGCCACATGCACTGAAAGCCACTTTACCAAGAAAACTGCCCGCGGCAGTCATGAAATAGATAATTTCATGGCTTGACCGATTTGTCTCCCAAAACTCTACGTATCTACATTTACGTTTAAAGAAAAATAAATATTATTTTCTTTAATGCTACAAAATGCGTTGGAAAGCGATGGGAACAAAGGTTTTGTTGCTGTTTTGGCTTTCACTTCGCCAATAGTCGCCGAACAAATCAGAAGAAGATTTAAATTTCTTTTCGCAAGAAAAATCCTTGGAATCGAGTAAGGTACTGACTCACGTATGCAAAACTGTCAAAAGTTTTACTGATAAAGAATAATTTCAGTAATTTGAATGACAATAACACAGAATTTCATTCACATATTTAAAAGAAAAGACTGACAAAATGGTCTCTCCATAACATAGTCTAGAAGAGAAAAAGATCATACGAATTCGCTTTAGTCAATTTTTAATTAATCATTTGCTTGACTTGCTATTCAGTATAGTAATTAGTATGAAAACAGCGCAAATATAATAATAATATTGCAAACTATATATTAGGATGTTTTTGTACAAGTGGTGAGACGTGCGTGTAGTCATGCAAACGCCTTTATCCCCATATTCGAGATCTTAGTTTATAGTTCCGAAACGTTGTCTGCCCCTAATAAGCCTTTTACATTAGTTGATCACGTGATCAACTTTCTGTAAAGACGAAAACAGTTCATTTTCGAAAAGTTTTGTTAGCAGGAGCTGAAAAAGCATATTAAAATAAGGCAACCTGTAAATTTTCAGCCGTATATCTCATAAGTAGCGATCGCAACGGCAGTCGAGAATTCAATGATCTTAGAAGGTTTTGTGTGTGTACGCTTCGCTCAGTCACAGAAATCGCGCCGCTAAACCGTTCTTGTGTGTGAACAGAAGCCCTATTCCAGCCTCGCTCCCAGTCGTCCTCGGCGATTTCGGATGTGACGTCACCTGTCAAGCTTGTCGCGAAAATTCGCCTCGCGCTATCGCGCTCGGTTCCAAGTCTCCTCTTGTAACTCAGATAGCGCGAACTGGCCTGGGTACGAGGCTGGCCCTATCCGGCACGATTTTCAGTACGGATAGAAGAAACGCGTTTACGACATAATGAAACACCATGCAAAACGACTGACGATTGGCCAATGAGAGACCAAAATCCGACCCTTTGTTGTAAATATGACCTGTGATTAGCTGATGAATATTTAAGTTGTTATACTGTAATTTGTACCATTATGATCACGAGTACCGATTATGACTTTGAAATTTAGAGCAAGTTCTCCGGAAGGCGACCACCCAAAATGTTAAGGCTAATGGTCGCACTTTTAAAAGGGCGGTGGTCGCAGATGAGCGCCGCAGTGTCTTTTTCGGTATCAATTGACACATATCTACTTTAATATTTAAAAGGGCATTGAAGGGGGCGGGGAATTCAGAGTACCACCTTGAGTTCAGTAAACGTAAAACCCCTGTACTTAGCTCCTGCGACAGTATTGAAACAGATCAATTTATCTTAAGAAAACGCCGGGAGACGAGATTGCAGCGCATCAGAAATAACAACTTTTGGTCTTTGGATTTTGCTAAGCAAAATTTGTGGAAAATCTATCAAAACATAAAAGGTGTGTAAAAGCGATGTTGCGGATGTGCCAAGGGAGTTGCTCGCTCCGGCTAAAGGATCCTGGTAATAGCCTTATATGTGCACTGACTTCCATGGGAGAGGTGCCTAAGTAAAAACGAAAACGTGAACTAGGTTAAGTTTTGCTTTCTCTTGTGGATTGTATCATTATATACTTAAAAGTGCCAACAGCATTTTACGCCAAGGTAAGAAAGAACAATACATGAAGCAATCGCTTAACACCATTGAGTAACGTTTAATTGCACGGTAAAAAAAAACTTCAACGAACGCGTGACACGGGTGGCAATGGAGGGTGTGACTAAAGAATAGAACAACTCATAACTATGCTGTCGGGGTCACGATTTGTATTTTTCGCTGGAAATTAGACTGAATGGTTGGATTCACAGCTTTTTCTAAGTGAGTGTAAGTGAAAAAAAATACTGAACAAGTAAAACATCAAGTCAGCTGGATAACCTTGTTTATGGAGTACAAAATGTTGAACGAAATTTAAGTTTTCTCCTCTGTCGTATTACAGTACGCACTAACTAAACTATACTACAATCCTCATTTCAAAGATGAGTGAGTCTGAGCGTCGACAGATAGGATATAACAGCCTCTTGGAAGCAGATGGACAAAATCAATCGTCAGAAGCGACAAACAGTGAGCCAGTGCAAGCAAGTAATATTTCACTTTGCAAGCGAATCGTGATATGGAGAAGATACCTAATATTGATTTTAACGCCGATATTACTCATGCCTCTTCCGATCGCAGTACCTGGAAGGGTAAGAAGAATTTGCTTTTTTATATGTTGGTGTACAGGAGTTTCTTATTGTAAACAATACACACTAACTAGATGGTACTGAATAGTGAAAAAGACTGAAATGTCAAATCGTACGAAAGTGAATCGTGTTCGGGTTAAGGTTAGGCCGGAAATAGTTCTGCTCCTTATCTTAAAGTGTCGAGAAGATGATGTCTTCTTGCGGAAACGTCAGAACGCTTTCTTTTGTATTATCACGGTCAGCTGTTAGTAACGCATTTTTATCTGTTTAATTTACGAAAGCCTTCTTTCGACGTCTTCGACAGATGCCGCATGAATTCAAACAAAATTCAACTTCACAAATCACAACATTAGCCTTGAATGTTCAAAACTGATCGAGCGTTTTCGGTGTTCTCTTGCTCAACCCGGGATAGGAGCGGGGTGGGGGGTGGACGACATCCATGTAAAGATGACAGGGATGCTCGTTGTCTAGCCGAGGGGTAAAAATTGCAGATTTCTATTTTACCTGTTCAGGACGGGAAAATGATATTTACAGCTGTAAAGATATCACTTGGGGTTGTGCATAAAGACATATCTATAAAACAATTCAGCAATCAAATGCCTATATATTGCGTTGACTATGGTCTTCTTTAGGCCGGAGTCAAATAAAGTCGATCGTCGGATCGAGCAAAGCCCAGATTGGTCTCCCGTTGCATCCAAGCCTCTTTCCTATAGGAGTTCGTCGGGGCGCCTAACTCCCCGGAACACAATATCAGTAATCTTAGTCAGCAGTTATGTAGAGGTCTACCCAGACGAAAATTCTCAACTAGGAAACTTTAGAAAAGCCCGGATACTTTTGAGCGTGTATAATTAATCAATTTTTCAGGAAGCGCGGTGTGCATACTGTATACTCATCATGGCGGTATACTGGGTGACCGAGGTTGTGGAGCTGGCTGTCACCGCTCTCCTTCCGTTGGTTCTGTTTCCGTTATTTGGTGTCCTTGGATCCAAACAAGTCTCTACTCCTNGTGGAGCTGGCTGTCACCGCTCTCCTTCCGTTGGTTCTGTTTCCGTTATTTGGTGTCCTTGGATCCAAACAAGTCTCTACTCCTTACTTCAAGGACACAAACGTACTCTTCTTGGGAGGCTTGATTGTTGCAGTCGCTGTGGAACAATGGAATTTACACAAACGGATCGCTCTTCGAATTCTCTTATTGGTGGGAGTTCAGCCTCGACGGTAGGTTAATTGTGTACCGTTTAAAAACCAACGGTAGTGGTATTTCTTTACGATTAAAGTACGCAGTACTACAACCAGTAGCAACTGCCTGTAGCATTGAGTAACCAATCTTATTGAGCCACATGAACAGTAGGTTTATTTAATTTACGAATCTGTTGGTCAGTTCACACAACTGCTTTAGTTTCGGTTTGCGTTACTTAAGCTAATAAGATAATCCGATTGAAAATTTAGCCATGGGCAGACGTAAAATATTGAAATGAGTTGTGATCGATAAGCAAAAGTATTTTTGTTCAACGTAAAACTAATGATGAGGATAATGATGATGTTGGTGACGATGATGATGATGACGACTATGATGATAGCCAGTGTCTAGTGGGCAATACTCTCACACGCCATGCGGGAACGACATATTAGCGGGATGTCTTGTACGGACGCAAACTTTCAAGGGAAGATAATATTCCTGAACTGGGAAAAGTTTGAACCCACTAATCATTTCATAAGTAGGTTGAGCAAGATCGTCCGGGTGAACGCAGTCATGAATAGGACTGTTGTTGACAGTGACTGACTTTTCCACAACCTGAGCGGTAGTCATCGTCAGAAAACTCTGAAATTGACTACTGCACAGGTTGTCGAGACGTCAGTCACTGTCAACAACAACAGTCCTATTCAAGACCACGTTCACCCGGACGATCATGCTCAACCTACTTATGAGTATCGATTATGAGTATTCCTGAAGTTATTTCGTACTATCACGATTTTATCGAGAGGTAGTAGAACAGAGAACTAGAAAATCTGGAAAGGAAGTTGTGGACCTCGGACGTTCATATGGTGAAACTATCAGGTTCATATGGGAAGATAGCTTTATTTTGTAATGTTAAAATCAACTCTTCTTTTGTCCATGTTTACAGGTTAATGCTCGGCGTAATGTTGACTACAGGGTTTCTTTCCATGTGGATAAGCAATACTGCCACTACCGCCATGATGGTGCCTATTGTCGAGGCAGTATTGAGAGAAATTAGAAACAAAAGCATAAAGAATAGATTGCAGAAGAAGGACTTTGGCGAGAACATTCAGGCGGATGAGGTAAGAAAGCAGGCGACCCCAGTTTGCTCTGTCATCCGAAAACCAGCCGGAAGACAAAAGACTATTTAACATATTCTATATAAAAATCCAGTATCATGACAGGCGCGGAACCAGAAAATCTGAAAAGGGAACCAGCAGACTTGCCAGTTAGTAACATGCGATATTAGTGTATATTCTAACGATCCCTGAAAGCATCCCAAAGACTCCACTGAGTTCAGACAAAGAGGGAGGGGCCGTAGCCCCTGGCACTATTTTAAATTCGCCCCATATGCAGCGATCACTTTGAAACCAGGTTACATGTAAACTGTTGTAGGAATGATTGCTACTATCAAAAAGATCATTGACGAGTTGTTTCCATTTATCTCTACCATCGCTGAACTTTCTTTTCAATGATCCTTACGATGACAGGGATGGTCGGTAGCATTCACGAGGAAACCATACCGGACTTTAAGGCAAAAAGAAATATTCAAAAACTTTAGATTTACTTCTCAAGTAGTTGAATGGTGATTCTTTAGCAAGGCCGTTCGAGACAAATCCATGCACTGAGAGATTGAACCAAATAGTTTACCATGACAACAGTACTAGCAGGAAAGTTTTCCTAAGTAGTTGTGGCTTGGAGTTTTAAAAGGCTCTTACTACAAAAATACACTATGATAAATCTGACAGATGGCGTTTTTGCTTCTGCAACGGAAAAAATGCTTTTCCCCAAACAATAATCCGGCTGCTTTCGTAACCTGAAGTGAGGAGTTACGTCTTTCCAGAAGTGCGTCACCTAAAATCATGTCAGTTGTGTAAAATACATTGTACTTCTCTTGAATTGTAAGCTGCAGCAGGCCATTCCGGCGAACGCATCCTTTGAACTTGCCGAAATAAATGAGAATCGGGAAAAGGAAGATACTGAGAAGACGACAGCAGCAGCTCAGGATGCTGAAATCACCAGCAAGGGTGGGAAGACCTCTGACAGCAAAGACGCTGGTGGCCCCGTCAAAATAGGAGAAAGGTGCTTACGGTTTCGGGAATAACTTTTCACGCCCACTAACTTGCTAACCAAGGGAAAAGGTGCTCAGTAGATATAAGCCAAACAATAAGTGCCATGTCATAAGTCTTTTTGGGCTCAACGTTAACAAAGTGCGAATAACTGAAGTTTCTGACTAGAGTGTATCTCTGTTTTATTATGCTAGGCCAATGAGAGTATCGACGCCTTAAAGTTGCTCTATTTGTTGACTGAAGTGTATTTTATCATGTTATGCTAATGACAGTATCGAATGCCTTAAAGTTACTCCATTTGTTTTTGTTTTTAGATCATCAGTAAATTATTTTCAAGAAGATAGTGATATTGAGGTAGGTCCTTGTTGATGGGTACATGCATGCATCGCCTGGAATGATGATGTAAGGCGGCCCACTCACTTTGACTCTTCTAACTGGTATCTTGAAATAAGCCTGTTGGACATGCTGGATCATCACCAAGAATGCGACTCAAGTCTAATTAGCCTTTTAACAATCGATATAGCCTGTTCCAGTCTCCAAGAAAGTGACGAAAGCGGATCCAGAAAAGTTCCGCGAAAACCGAGTGGGAGCTGGAGTAGTGGAGTAGTGGAGCCTGTAAGCACTGTTTTCAATACCTCATTCCGGTATACCAGCTCCTGATATACCCTATGATTGGTCAATTGCGACAATTTACTTCAACACTTACGTAAATCATTTGGCTTCGCGCGCACAGAGTTTAACAAACAAGTCGAGCACTGAAACCCGCCTACAATGCACCTTTTGACGTTCTGACATTTTGACACGAGAAACAGTTTTTCAGGATGGGGGGGGGGGGGGGGGATGGGGCATTGTTGGGTTTTTAAAAAAATCGCCCCCCCTTCTCTTTCCGCCCTTTTATCCGCCAATCCTTGTTCTGCCCCTCCCCGCCCTCCCCCGGACGGCTCTCGCCGCGCAAACACCTTGCACAACTGTGCTTGTGGAACAGCGAGGCGACACTTTGCGGTGCACCCGTTTGGTTAAGAGAGATACATGAACACAGAACGCCGCGACGCACCCCTCACTCGGTCGTTCTGTTGTTGGGTCGTTTTACAACGCAGAAGTGGTGTTGGGGGGGGGGGGGGGGGGGGGGGTAGTGAGCTGATTTAGGTATTTGAAAAGATGCTCCTCCTTCTATCTTCTCGCCGTTAATCGCTCAATCCGTTTTTGCGCTCATCCGCACTGACCGCGAGAGCCTTGCACGGGCTAACAACCTATACAGAAGTCGTGATTGGAAACAGAGTGGCTACATTACGGTGTACCATCAGTTGATGGCTAATTAAACCGCAATATCAACAGAAACGTCCAGATTTTATTGTCTCTGACTACTTCGCCTTCATCCGGGTGGGGTGGTTCAACCATATAATTCTGTATGAAAATAACCCTGAAATGTCTGACATTAAATTTGAGGAGATTTCATTTTCAGAACGCCGAGACTCATTATTACAACAGATTTTGCAAAGGCATGATGTTAGCTGTTGCTTACGCTGCTAATGTTGGTGGTACTGCCACGCTGACGGGAACTGGTCCAAATCTTGTGTTTGGTGGACAGGTTAACCAGTAAGTCATTTTACATCAGTAGGCCGTAATTTTTCTCGCAGAAAATAATATAGGTGCTGTGTTAATAAACGAGGGTCTGGATGGGGTTAACTGACAACTGACAAATGGCCAAAATTTTAACTGACAACTGACAGATTGCTTAAAATTTGACTGACAACTAACATTTGTCTTGGCAAAGGTTTTACTGACAAATGACAAAGGTCCTGATCGTCCTTTATTTTCTACAAAACCCATTTTTAAGACCTTTTAGTAGCATTGTTTCACTCTTTTCGTCAGACAATTAATTTGATAAAATGTGCGTTTATTTGGGTAATCTTAGTTTTCGAATTCAGTGTTTAATTTGCATTATGTATGCCTTTTTAGATAAATTTCGGATTAGAAATAAACAAATAAGATCCATATATAGTTAATTATTTACAATCATTTCACTGACAACTGACAAATGACCTAAAATTCAACAGACAACTGACAAACGGCCAAAATTTAAACTGACAACTGATATTTTACCCCATTCCATACTAAATTATTAATAATCATTTAACTGACATTTGACAAATGACCTAAAATTCGATTGACAACTGACAAATGGACAAAATTTTAACTACTGACAACTGACATTTCTACCCCATCCAGACGCTCATAAAACAAGTCTGTATAATCAACTGTATTTTTTTACAGGAACCTCCTCCGTTGTAAGAAATTACTACCTTTAGTATACAGTATTGATTGGTCTAGAGATAAGATAACTGCCTTCGACAATTACCTGCTCATGCGCAGTATGTAAAAAGGCCGGGCTTTTCTGCTGCAGAAAATGCTCTGGTCGTGCGCAGTTTGATAGGGGTGTTGTATTTTCTCGACCTTTACTGGCAATATTGATGTCTAAGAACAAAGTTCATCATTTCAAAGTGCTCCAAAATCAAGTACAGTTCAATTCTAGCCTCTTCCTAAATGCTCGTAAAAAAGTTTGGAGGTTTTCGGTCGATCTCATAATCTACAGCAACTGAAAATGTTGTTAATGAGATAATTGAGATAACTTCTTCTAATTGCCTCTAAGCGTTTCTGACTGAAACTTGCAACCCGTTTAGTTCAATTTCGAAAAAGGTTTCAGTAAATCACCTTTATAATCAATTAACACTTAATGTTTTCCAGTCTTTTCCCCGAGAGTCCCGGCTTCAGCTTTGCCATGTGGTTTGGTTACTCATTTCCTCAAATGGTTATCCTTCTGTTTGTTGCTTGGATCTGGATTCAGCTATTATTCTTAGGATTCAAGTAAGTCATAGTTTGTAGCACCTTTGAGAGTGATTTCCCTGTTAGGTGGTGTCTATGGATGAACCAGAAACGTTCTATTTCACCTACATAAGAACCTCAAAACCGAACTGATAATCCTGGAATAAAACCAAGAGGAAGCCACGAAGATGAACAATAGTTCAATATCCGATCTCAGGCTATTTTGTTCTTGGAAGGCTCTATAAAACTTTTAACTAAAACCTAACACGCATAGATATTTTCTATTTGCCTTTCCATTTAGCTTCCGTAAATGTTTTCACAAGTATGTCTCCAAGGAGCGAAGATCACGGAACAGAGTCAACCAGCAAACAAAGGTCGTCAGAGAGCTTTTGGAGAATCAGTACCGAGCACTAGGACCAATGTCGTAAGATTAACAAAAATAAATCTTGTATATGGTTACAAAAACTTGTATAATGTAGTTATCCGCACATCATATCCGTGTCCAAGGATAGAACCCCTTCAGAATTTCTCTTTATTTGTTTCGATTCTTGTATTTCTAATAAGGTTTGCTGAGAAAGCCGTCCTTGGTCATTTCATCCTGTTAGCGTTGCTGTGGCTGTTTCGTGAACCCAAATTTATGGACGGATGGTCCATAGCATTCAAAAAAGGGTAAGTGTGCGTTACTTGCTTTATTGATAACATCAATGTGACACCTTCATAAATTTAACTTGCTCTTTTTTCCAGCTACGTTAGAGACGCCACAGCAGCGATGACGGTAGCGTTCTCACTGTTTGTATTCCCTTCACAAAGACCAAGAACCTTTGCTCTTGATGGATCAGGTAATAAAAAAATAACAAAATGCTGAATGTTGAGTCGAAACAACTTTTGAATTTACTTTCTAACTTTCTAAAAGATTGAAAGCCAACCAAACGCAGGAAGAGCGCGGCATATAGCTTCCCGCCAAGAGACACAACGTGCGGGAGGGCGACATTACTTCATAAGTCCGAAGAAGTTTATATGGACATAGCTCATACTAGTAACAATGAATACACCTGGTCATATGTGGTTGTAAGTGATTTAAATGAGATATTTGAACCAATGAATACATATAATCGATATATACTCGGTACAGGTACACAGTGGAAAGGCATGATAAACTTGAGACTTCCGCCGGAGTATTTGGCAACGTCCATATGGATGGTTCCTGATTTTCTAACGAAGTAATTCATTTTATGATGCTTTTTATGATGCTATGGTCATCCATATGATGTGTAAGTGTCATCCATATTAGGGAACAGGAATTATCGTGATGCTGTTTGTTAATAGCCGAGTTGTTCAAAGCTGGGCTAAGATAACCCAGGGTTAGTGCGAGATTTGAATTCAGATTTGAAAGCTTAAAAAGCATTTCAGTTTTAATTCTATTTGTCTACATGTTGATGATTGGAAGCTCTAAAAATAAAGGAGAAAATTATCCAAGAAAACGCTTTTGAGCACAAGAAAAAGAAACCAGGGTTAAATTTAACCCCAAGTTAAGCGCTGATCGGCCTTCGAACAACTGGGCCCATTGGTGTACAGGGTTTTTTACTACAACCAGTACTCGATACAGTATAAGGAATAAAATTTCAGGTTTGGTCCAGATTTATAAGGTTTATTCGTGCGGGTATGTTTTCTATAGTGAACAAGCTGCCATCCGGTCTACTGGAGTTCAGAACCATGTGTAAGAAGTTTCCATGGCATCTTGTTATTCTGCTTGGTAGTGGATTTGCTCTGGCGGAGGCTTGCAAGGTAGGTATATGCCAACCTCGTTCCCAGGACCCTCTCCCACTCGAGCCCGGGAGCGAGAGACAAAGAGACAGTTTGCTCTCTCTCTCTCTCTCTAAACAATGACATGTCATTCTTCCAATTATTTTAGTATTGTTTGGCTTCTCTTCCGAGCAGCTGCTACATGACCCCTCTCTCCCTCGCTGCGACGGACGAGTAGGAGAGGACCCTGGCAACGAAGTTGCTCATATGCGATAAAACTGTTTTATACAACTAATATTCACTCTTAGATGAATAATCTGCTCCATGGTGAAAATCTTCATTTACCCACCGCTTTACCAAGTTTTTTTTTCTACGTGAGGAAAAAGATATAGCGCAGAATGCGATAAGACAGATGGAGAGATGGTGGGCCAAGTTACTAGACAGGGGAAGGCGGTCGAACTAATTTGTGATACACTCCGGCTTTATCTACGTCTTTCACTTATAGTTAGTTCTGAGAACCTGTGCCATAGTCTTAACCTTATGAGACTCTGGACGAAGTCCTGTGGTGTTAGTTATAACTCAAATGAACCCTCTTCCATTCAGCAGTACTTTAAAGTTAAACAATAAGTAATGTGTCTGGAGTTTTGGAATTTAATAGTTTTGATTTTGACTTGTTTTCAGGAGTCCGGCCTGTCAGAATGGGTAGGAACACAGTTGAAACACCTCGACGCCATCCCACCAGTTGCGATCGTAATCTGTATTTGTGTAATGATCACCACTTTCACTGAATTTACGTCGAATGTAGCAACCGCGACAATATTTTTACCGATATTGGCCTTCTTGGTGAGTGCTACTTGGAGAGAGGAAGCGCAATTCTAGATTTTAAAAGGTCAATTTTCGAACTCGCGACCACCCGCCAAAATGCTTTTAAAAGTGGTCTCGCCTAAGGATGGTGGTCGTTTTCCGAAGTGTCTTTTAAAGGATCAAGTCGGAGACATCTGCT